TGTGAAGTGCAAGTTTATGGTTAGTCATAAATCTTACCTAGTTACACCAAATACAGTATACATTGACAAATACCTGTCGTCAAATTTAAACATTTTGTGTAGGCTTTTCAACTAGAGTGATTTTTCTTGAAAAAAACCTATACCTTCTTCCTGCCAGGGATTTTTTGCTTGATTTTATAAGCAGAACCTCTAATTCAATGTGAAGATAAGGAGCAGTGACCAATCTTAAGGAGAGATGATGCAGAGAATCTTTTTTTTTTTTAAAAAAATGAAAATTACAACTTGTATTACGTTTTAATGAGTAATAGATTTTAATTTCTTCTCAATAACAGTTTCAAATCCAAAAGTATAGATTTATAAGAATGGTTGCTGAATGGTAAAATTTTTAACATCATTGAAGGTTTACAATTACTTAAATTTATTATTTTAACATTTGCAACAACAATGGGCCATAAATATTAACCAATAGGCATTCATTTCTTCTTTGTATCGTATGTCCCTAAGACAAAACATTTATCAAATAATATAAATCTGTACAGAAAACATAAAACACGGATCCTTTGAAATACTACTGATGGGGTCATGTGCTAAAGAGGAGTAAGAATTCCCTGCTGACAGATATATCCACTGAGAGCCATATGTATTAACATACAACTCAATGATACAGTATTTGTCTTTTTTTGCTATGAAGGTCACGTTAACGATCATGTTTTTTTTTCAAAATACAGGGAATTCACACGGGGTAGATGAAATTTGGGTATCAATCTTACATGTAAATGTTTCAAGCATGCATTGATTTAAACAGTGTTTACACTGTCACAATTAATGACAAATTGAAAAAAAATGTCTTTCTTTTATTTTTTTTCATATATAAATCTTTAGGATGCATTAAAACGGGATACTATGGAGCAAATTGTTCCATTCCCTGTTCCAGAAATTGCAAACATTCCTATTGTCAAGCAAAAACAGGTGCATGTCTACATTGTGAATCTGGATTCTACGGTCATCAATGTGAACTGAGTGAGTAAATCATAAGGGTATTATATGTGTGAAAATCGGGTCATGGTTGATGAATGTTTATTTTAAATAAAACAAAAATAGATATCATTAAATTTGTACATTCTTGGTATTTTTGACAGATGTGTTAAATATTAATCAATTATTTGAGATCAATATGATAATAAAGTCTTTTGAGGAATACAATATTACAAACCGACAACCAAGGTATATATTTAATTTCGAAGGTTTCTCAAAAATATATAAAGTGTTGAAACCTACAATTTGAACTAATCAATTGAAATCGAATATTGAGAATTGATCACGGAATCAGATATATATCTAGAGCACAAAACCAGGCCTACCACTAGGATACAAGATCCCGTTATCTTTAGAATGAATTCAAATCATATTGCAATTTTAGATAAGTTTTGTTTTCTTTTGGCTACACAGTTGTTCATTATCATATGAATAAAAATGTCGCATGATTTGTATTAGAACCAGTGTACATGCATTTATATACTGACACGCAAAAGAAACGCAACACCCTAATAAATAAAAATAATTATGCAAAGTAAAGAATTTTGTATCTGAAAATTATGAATATCTTCAATGTGGTAAACATCAGTAAATTAACGGTTGAACGATTTCCATACCATAACCGGAAGTCAAGTTTTAGTCTGCTTAACAGAAATCAAAAATTGCATGTTTAACAAAATACATGGCAATATTATGGAGTTTTGAGGGTTTTTTACAGTTCATCATAAGTAATGCAGCAATATTTCAAAAAATAAACTCAACTTTCGTTTCCCGAAACAATGCTAAGGCTACTTGAATATGGCTTATGTACGCATTTCCATTGCTCTAGCTGGAAAATTACAATGTTAAGGTGATGGAGAGTTGCTGATGCGAAATTTCACTACATTTCGCCTCAGCAGGGTCTTACGTATCATATGCATTGAGGACAGACCTTGTACTGGAAGTCCAAGAGTGACTTCACTGCTCTAAGTTAGAGAAAATTCGACCTAATTATATAAAAAATGGGCATTTAAAAATATCAAAAAAAAATAATTCCTTCGCTGAGATCTCGGTATTAATGGCCCTATTGCATCGTAGTAATTAAGCTGCAATTGTTATTTAGGGCAGTCTTGCAAGTTTTACTTGAATGGCTGGGAGGGGGGTGTTTTAACAGTCATATTTTACTGAGTAAAGTAAACAGATAAATATTTAACATTTTTATCAAATCTCTGATGTTCTGAAAAGTGACTTTAGTCTTACTCTATTCGCTTTTGATATTGGTAAGATAAAAAAATCAAACATTTGTAAATTACTGCTTGTTGCGTTTCTTTTGCGTGTCAGTATATCCATAGTTTGAATTAAACATAACCTTGTTTTTGAACTTTTAAAACATGTATAATGGGCAGCTAATAAAAATCATTTTCCTATCCTATGTCAGTTATCATGAGACTTTCTATGAACACGTGTTGATAAAATTATTTTTATTGCCACCAGTCTCTGGATGTTTTTTAAACATATGAAAACAGACGAGTCAAATCTTGAATTTTCAAACTCATTTCAAATTATTACAACTTATATATGCAATGAAATGTATATTATTAGAGCAAGGGCTCGTCAATGAATATTTTCAGCGACAATTTGTACGTCGATTAGATGTCAATAATTGAAATAATTATATATTATTTAATTTGTTTTCAAAAGAATGTGATGGGGGAAGATATGGACAAGACTGTAGAGAGACATGTGGAGCGTGTCTGGGATATAAACAATGCCATCACATCAATGGTACTTGCCTTGACGGATGTGATGCTGGATATGAGGGACAACTTTGTAAAACGGGTACATTTCTGTTCATAATTCAATTACGTGACGTATTTCTTTTTTATCATAAAATCTTATCATAGTTTTTGCCAATTTGAGCATTACCCCAAATGAAAAGTATGAAAAGGAAATGAAACAATATAATTTATGAAAACGATTTAGGATGTTCTGCTGGAAAGTTCGGTTTTGACTGTCAAAAGAATTGTAATGAACACTGTAAAGTACCATATAAATGTAACAAAGGGACAGGAGAATGTGAGGATGGTTGTCAGCCTGGCTGGGAGGGGCCTCGATGCGAACAAGGTACATTCATTTCATTTAAAAGAAGTATTTTCAGTTTCCAAAATTATATCAGGAAAGATGTTTTTCTCTGAAAATAACATGAAGATTAAAAATAATATTTCGTTCTTTTTTGTATACCTTATATAAGAAGAATATACCCTTACATTTCTACATGACTGTAAAAGATAAGAATAAAACCCTTGCAGTTTCCAACATTTTACCATCGGAATTTATCGATGACGAATTTTTTTTTATTATTTTAATTATATTGATAGCAAACATAATTCTTCACTGGATCGAATGTTAGCTTGCCTGTTGACTATAGTAAAAAAGAAACTGAAAACGGATTACTTTGATTTCTTTTTTCAATGCAAATTTCTCCAGAGATATGTGATCGGTAAAAATGAGATAAACTAGGTACAACCTCAGGGTTTCACTGGCTCTGTGTATTGAGCTCTGTTCAAAGATTTATTCATAGTCTAATTGTAGATTTTTTTTAGATCGATTATTATAGGTTGTCTTTTTTGATGAAAGCAAAAACTGAATAAAAGAAAAGTCAAGTTTTATTTTAATCTTTTTTTAAGATCATTACACGACTAACATCATGAATATGACCGCTGTAACAAACACCAAAGAAGTGGATAGCTGGATGCAAGGTGTTCGAAACGTTTTCATGCTCTTTCTGTTCTTTACATTCAAATCCCATCATTTGTCTAAAATCCATACTTAATATTAAATCATCAAATATAACATAAAATAAGAAAGAAAACAAGTGTGTTCGGCATGTCATTAACCTTTACTCGGAATCAAATAATGCACAGTTGAGTTATGAATAGATTTTTTTTGCAGCTTTAGAGAAAGGAAATGACTGTATGGTGCGATTTTACGGAATTCTTGCAGCTTTTTGTGTTAGTTTAACAGTTTTAATAGTGTTGGCTGTTTATATCTGTATTAAAAGGTGTGTCTTATACAATACATAGAGAATAATACATACTCTTTTCCATATCACATCCTGTATCAGCCCGAGACACCAATATCAGCCAGAGGGCCGAAGGCCCGAGGGCTGATATTGGTCGAGGGCTGATACAGGATGTGATGTGGAAAAGGGTATGTATTATTATATTTATTACATACTTAGTAATAAAATACAGAACACATTAAGTTGAGAGGAAAATAAGTAAATAATCATGTACGGACTTCTTACATACATGTACATGGTCTATTGTCTCATACGATTTGCGTTTGTTTCTACTTCTATTTCAATGCACTCGTTCCTAAATTGAAAATAATCTATTACATGTATTTGTAAATTAAGATTAACCTTATTTTCGAAAAGTTAAAATTAAGAGAATATGAACCCACCCAAAATTGTGTATGATCACAAGTACTGTTTTTGTGGTTTAATTTGATACTGACGTCACAATAGCCGTATCAGCCCTGCAGGGCTGATATGGATTTGCGGGGCTGATACAGGTTATCAGCCCCGCAAATCCATATCAGCCCTACAGGACTGATACGGCTATTGTGACGTCAGCCATATCGCATATGCAAAAAACCTGTATTTATTACTAAGTGTGTAATAAATATTAATATAGTTCAAAAAAAGATAGAGAACACTAAGAACTTTTTTAAAAGTAAAATGCCCAAATAGTCTCTCTCTCTCTTGATTAACTTTAATTCTTCATATTAGATTTCATATGGAAAATTTACCTGCAAATGTTGCTGAGTAAAGAAAAAATCACAAGTTTTTGATTTTTGAAAAGAAAATTTCTATCTACATCTAGGCGTCGAAAACAAAGGCAAGGCAGAAAATGTATCAAAGATAACTTTAAACCTGACACAGGAAGGATGGGTTTGAATAATATATCTGCAAAAATTACAGAGGATAACAAAACATATGAAGAGCTTGGACAAAGAACGCTACCATCAGAATATGAAATAATCCAAAAACTCTCCTAAAACATCAATGTATTTTCATTCATATGCTATGTATATAGTATGCTGTATATTCTACTTCGATTATTGCTGAGATTAAAAAAAATGCCACAGACAATATTCTCAAATAAATCACCAATATCATCAAAAAATTATTAAATCGGAAACCCATATCAAACCTGTGCGGTTGAAATGTACATTTTACTTAAAAATAAAATATATATATTAGACCACATCAATGTGTCGTCTTTTCTAATTTAATCACTGTAATATTGCAGAAAGTGGCTAATGAATGTAGGTGTCTAAAGCAAAACAGGGGCTGTTTAACGGATCTCCTTTCGCCATATTTACGCTCCTGATTTTAGTGATAAAGTTTAAAATAGGAAACTGATTTTGTTATTGTATATTACAGAATTTTAATCGATATGAGCTACAAACATATTCATATTGAATAAAAGGCAAATTTTAATTGGACAACAGCACAAGACGTCTGCATTCTAGTCATAGGTAAACAAACTAATTTACACTCTGGTGCTAAATGGAACAGTGCTACTGCAGCATGGTGACCTAATTCGTTTCTCTATTTAGAAAAAATCTGTCGTATTTTTAGTAGAATAGAAACAAAGTCCTTGTTGTCGTGAATGATGCAGAATACTTGTAACCGCCTCGGCTTTATAGCTTTAGCTTTCAATTAACATTTCGAGACCGAGGACGATCTCCATTTTTTTTGTCTTTAAAATCTGAGTGTAGATTATTTATCTTTTTGTTACACGCACCATTCGGTAGCATAAATATTGCTTCTTAAAAGAGACTCTTATATTACTGTCAGTTTGTTGTACAACCTGCCTATATCAGGACAACTCTTGGACGAATAGAACCGGAAATATTTTACTGCTTTCATAAGATTAAAGAACAATTTAACTATCATTCTGTAAAACTCGATTACTATGCATAATTAATCTAACTAGTTTTCTCCCTATTGTGTTCATTCGAACATAGTATGAGAATATTTCGAAATTACCGGGGGCAATATTTCGCCGTTAAATAATGTCTTTAAAACTTTGAACTGAGCTAAGCGCGACTCCAGGCAGACAGATAGACGAAACCACGGAAAACGGACATGACAAACTTAATATATCATGTCCATTTACATGGTGGGGTATAAACTAAAATAACTATTCTTAACAGGTATATGAATCCAATTCTTATTAGAAAGGACAGAAGTGTTCTTTAAAAATCTTAGCATTAAAAGATACAGTCAGAGATACAATTTTACAAGAGCAACAGAACAGAGCAAGTGATTTAAGGGTATTAACTTTTACATGACTTGTTATTAGCCATGGGAAGGTATTTTCAGAAGAAGCGTGAAACAGTATTAATCCAAACATTTTAGACTCTAGCAAGTACGGGTAGCCTTTCAGATATTCTAACATAGGCATGCTTTATATACTTTAAATATATATCCCATGCATAGAAGTCTGATATCATACAATGTGTCTCATTTAAATTGTCACATTTTTGTGGTATTGATTCAGTGCCTTATCTTAACAAGGAAAGAAATTTGAAAGTATTTAAACAGTCTTTCACAAAGCAGATAAAAAATAATTTTATCATTTCCTTAAAATGTAAATAGATTTCATCAATGTTTATACTAAAAAAAATGTAAGATCTTTCAAAACAAAACCATTTATATACAAATAGCCTTGTTTATCAAGTGGCACCAAATGGGATTGAGTTTTTACTCTCTTACACTGTATAAATCAACTTCCTCAATGGTAAGAGTGTCTCTCTCAACGCGCCGCAATGCTAGCTTTGGGTCTGATGATAACAGTTCTACTTACTGTTTATGGATATGGTAAGATCTTTTAAAATCATATTATGAGAATATTCATAAATTTTCAGAAATTGAAGCAACATCTGTTTTCCTCAAGAAAAATCTTATTTAAAAATACAGCAAATTTGAAATAAATTTAATATTGTCACGAAATATTTTCTAAACCGTTCATGTAATTTTGAGAAGTTTAATTAATTATAATAAATCTTTTAAAAAAGGTTGTGAGGGAATGACGACACCATTTTACATTGTATTTATTTTTAGAAAATATCGCTTTAAATAAACAAACGTACCAGCCGCATGTTTTATGCACATGAGTACCAATAGTAAGTATGGACAAGCTACCTTTGATTCAAGCAATGGCGTTGATGGACAAAAGACTGTTTTGACAGGCTACTGAGGACAATGCACAATTTCTGCTGATGGATTCAGTAATCTGACTTGGTGGGTAAACTTGACGTCAATCCACAGCATTAATGATATAAAAATATACTACAGGACAGATGATTCCGCATGGGGTAATTATTCAATGCTTTAATACTCTTGAAGAGAAATTTGTAGATACATTTAAATCAAATCAAGGGTTTGTCCTACACTGGATATTGTGCATTGTGTCAATTAAAAGGTGATATCAAAAGATCTTTTGATCTGCACCATTTTCAAATCAATTGTGCAATTTTTATGAATATTTTGTGCTATCTGATAGTCATAGAAAAAAACATATCTTTTACAAAAAGCTTGTCAACTTTACGTTGGGGTTCCTGTCACTAGCGCATGTTCCCGCCGTTTGTATATCTTTTGGCATGCTTACCTCCGGCTCATTGTAGCCTGGGCCTATCGAGACTCTCTAGCACAGAATAACAATTAACCACTTGACTAGCTATAGTATTCATAAATTCCATCTTTTTCACATTGATTATTTGTGGGACAGAGTGGAAGATATGGTTTTAAATGCCGAAGATAGTCTCTTTCAGATCAAGGGTTATCTTGTTGAAAAGGTTGAAAAATATCCCTATTTGTAGGATAAACAAACTGACGAACTCCATGCAAAGGAGAAACAAGACTGTGACATATGCGAAGGAGACATTAAAAATAATGAGAATTTTCAATTTTTACTTCAAATAGAGGGGGGTGGGGTATTGTCATATCAGTTTCAATATCTTATAATTAGTCACATTCAAATGATTTTTTGGTTTCATGCTTTATTAAGGACGATATTTAACGTTAAATAGGACTACTAGAAACTACTAGAAAATGCATAAAGAAAAATAAAATTATTTCACCTTTAAAATTTACCCAGCGTTTCTATTTTATTCAGTATTGATATTGATTTTATTTCATGAATATTGTTTTTTTATTTTATTATATGAGCGTAAATAAATATATGTATATAAACTGTGATACTTTGCCTTTTCAAAATTGTCTTATGAATCTTGATCAAACCAGCGTCCCTGTTGTACTGTTTTATCCGCCAGTTAAAAAAATACTTATTTGACGATCGCCGCCGTCAACACACTAAGTTGATATGAAATGATATTGTATTCAGCCACCATTGATAGATATCGTTTGAGATATCATTCCTGACGGTCTTCCAATTTTGACCTTAAATGAGCATTATACTGTAGTATATTAATTGGTTTTAACAGAGTGCAGCGGTGGTGGATATGGCCAGGATTGTAAACAGATATGTGGAGCGTGTCTGGGATATAAACAATGTCACCACATCAATGGATCGTGTCTTGAAGGATGTTATACAGGATTTTAAGGATTATTTTGTAAAATGGGTAAAAAATTAATGATTTAAGTTAAGCATTTATGGCTAGCATTTATAATAATCGGTTCTGTATTTGTCATTTAAGAATACGTAAACACTCTAGCAGACTTATTATCATCGGCCATATCATTTAACAATACATAAACACTTTAGCAGACAAACGGCATACAATGTAGAAATTTATAACATTAGGTTGTTCTCTTGGAAAATTTTGAATCAACTGTAAGAAAACTTGTAATGAAAACTGTGGTGTATCATATCAATGTAACAGAATAACAGAAGAATGTGATGAGGGATGATGTCAATCAGGCTGGGAGGGACCTCAATGTGAGGATGTTTCTTGATAATAATTTAAATATGACTTAAAAAAAATATGCTTTTTTTCTCCAAATTTTATTTAGTACTTAAAACCGCATTTTCGATAAGACAATTCAATTTCGTACATACGAGAATACATGAAAAAAGTCTAATGAAATAAAATTCATTGAAGAAAGTAATTTTTTCTCAGTTTGTAAGCAGTATAATTACGGGGAAAACTGCTCTCAATCATGTGGATTCTGTCTGTACACAAACTGCCATCATGTAAATTGCCCTTGTCCTGGATGTTCGGATGGATATATAGGAATATTATGCAATGAAAGTAATTCAACTTTTATAATTTAAAATAAAATGTTGAAAATAAGGCATAAGTATGACTGTAGGGATTTTATACTTTTAACACATGACTTTAAATGGGTAGAAATAATATTTCACTGTTTAAAACAGAAATAAAATATTTGATATAGCTTAGTTATTTGTAAATTAAATGAGCATTTTACTTTTAATGACAGTCTGTAAGACAGGATTTTATGGCGAAAATTGCTAGAAGTAATGCAGCCTTTTCTGCAAGTCATCGCGTGAATGCAACCACGTGATTGGACATTGCAATGAAGGCTGTATTGGTGGATGGCAGGGTACTATGTGTTTGCAAGGTGAATAGTTAATAGTCTTCTTAATGTTATCACAACGTTGAAATAAAGGAATATAATCTTATTTCAATAGATCCGAAATTAATGCTATGATTTTTTTTCTTGATGCAGTTGCAGAGAAAACAATTGATATTGATTGTCTGGTAAAATTTCATGGCGTTCTTGCCGCTCTCTGTGTTTGTCTAATAATAATCGGCATTTTAATCGCTTATATTTGTATCTATAGGTAAGATGTCTTTGAAGAATATATAGAACAAACAAACAACTCTCACTCCTTCTCTTTAACTCTCTATATGATATTTCAACATTTCTAGTTTCGTTTAGAAAAAAAGACTGACATTCTTAAACACATTTTGTATATCTCTTTAGATTGAATATGATAGGAGGAATAAGAAAATCGATGTATAAAGAAGATAAAGAGACGAAGGAAAGTGTATGTAACATGGACTTTATCTCTAGTAAGGTTAACGAAGACGACAAAAACGGATACCAGGAGCTGGGAGAACTGGCGCTACCATCAGATTATTATCGG